CGGCCACAGAAACTGGCAAAACGTTAGGAACAACAACCTTCAGAACACGGCCAAAGAGCCTGAAAAAACCACAACAACCATTAGATCCCAGCTGTGAAAGCCTTCGCAAATACATTTCCTGTATACATTTTACCTCATTTATAAAAAGAATGGGTTGACTTCATTTCATGCTCACTGGCTAACTCTACTTCTTGCATTTCTGGAAATAATAAGCTGGAAAAATACTAGGGCAAACAAAGATTGATTGGTTGTAATACAAAGTTGCACAACCAGATAAAAAAAGCAGAAGCTAGTGGGAAAGATGCTGACCACCGAAGAATTGATGCTTTGAATTGTGGTGCTGGAGGAGACTCTTGAGAGTCCCCTGGACTGCAAGGAGAACAAACCTATCCATTCTGAAGATAAGCTGGAACTAGGGCAAACAAAGATTGATTGGTTGTAATACAAAGTTGCACAACAAAATAAAAAAGCAGAAGCTAGTGGAAAATGAAATGGCATCACACTCTTGAATGTTCTGCTGACCTGTGTAATTGATCGTCTCCTTCTTTCAATTGTTTCCATTTGAAGGAGATCCCATACTAACCTTCCGTGCACCATCTTCCAGTTCATCTTCAGGTAAATCTGGGTTTCTTTCCACCTGGAGGTTCCAACGATCCAGTTGGACAATGGTTCCATCTTCTACATGGCAGAGAATTTTTGCAACAGGTTCATCTGTATATCCCTGTCATGAGAATAAAGATAGCAGTCCCCAGTCAATAACTGGCATCCATTTTACTACATGAGATGTTGCAGAGACCTGAACAGACTGGAAAGACTGTTGGCATTTTTTATTTAGAGGTTGTTGGAGAATCCTAATATTCTGACCACCTTGGAAATGAAATGGCATCACACTCTCGAATGTTCTGCTGACCTGAGTGATTGCTCGTCTCCTTCTTTCAATTGTTTCCAATGACAGGAGATCCCATACTAACCTTCCGTGCGCCATCTTCCAGTTCATCTTCAGGTAAATCTGGATTTCTTTCCACCTGGAGGTTCCAACGATCCAGTTGGACAATGGTTCCATCTTCTACATGGCAGAGAATTTTTGCAACAGGTTCATCTGTATATCCCTGTCATGAGAATAAAGATAGCAGTCCCCAGTCAATAACTGGCATCCATTTTACTACATGAGATGTTGCAGAGACCCGAACAGACTGGAAAGACTGCTGGCATTTTTTATTCAAAGGTTGTTGGAGAATCCTAATATTCTGACCACCTTTCAGGAAATATTGAAAATGCTATTTGTAAAAATTCACAAATTCCTAGATTGAAGGCAAATCTATGGAATGGCATAAGATCAAGTAGTAACAATAGGCCTAACGCTCAAGGCCCCAAAGGATAATTCATGGGGCAGCTATTGTTTTTCAACTAAAAAGAAAACTAAAAAGCTTGACTGGAAGCAAATAATAGCTGGGCAGAAAGTAACAGCTGGATTTTGTATCAATTGAGAAAAGTTTATTATATTCAGCCCCTCAGACATTTCAATTTACAGTTCCCACTAGTTCCAACCAGCAAGATGCTGGTAATGGATTATGAGAGCTATCATCCACATATCAGAAGAGCCAAAGCGAGACCTCCCTTTCATCTAGTAGGTATGATGGATAAGAAGCCATCTTCAAGGGGGTGGGTGTGGGGGAGATCGGACTTCTTTCTTACTTCTTAACTGGGGTTAATCCCAATGGTCACCTAACTCAACCATTGCCAGTACAGGGATCTCCAACTAAAGCATTCCTGACAAATGACCAGAGAGTCATTTCAACTCTGTTTAAAAATCTCCATTGAAGAAGGAACAGCTCCATAATGTCTAGCTAAAATCCTCTTTCTGTTTTTTTTTATGTTTCTCTCAGAGTGGTGCAATATGCAGATGGACTGTGTTAGGCCCTTCAGACGTTTCAATTTACAGTTCCCACTACTCCAACCAGCAAGATGAGGGTAATGAATTATTAGAGCTGTCATCCAAATATCAGAAGAGCCACAGCGAGACCTCCCTTTCATCTAGTAGGTATGATGGATAAGAAGCCATCTTCAAGGGGGTGGGCTTGGGGGAGATTGGACTTCTTTCTTATTCCTTTTGTTTCAAGTAAGTCTTCAGCTCCAAGTTTTAACCATAAAACCATAGAACTACAGAACTGGGGTTAATCCCAATGGTCACCTAACTCAACCATTGCCAGTACAGGGATCTCCAACTAAAGCATTCCTGACAAATGACCAGAGAGTCATTTCAACTCTGTTTAAAAATCTCCATTGAAGAAGGAACAGCTCCATAATGTCTAGCTAAAATCCTCTTTCTGTTTTTTTTTATGTTTCTCTCAGAGTGGTGCAATATGCAGATGGACTGTGTTAATAATAATACACTAACTAATAATTTATTTATAAGACATTGAAAACTTTATAGAACATTACAAGAAAGGACACATATAAAATGAAACACTGTATTAAAAGGAAATTAATTAAATAATTTTGAACAAAAATTGTGCTTTATCAATCACAATATCTCTCCCCACCCCCACCCCGGCAAGATCTCCTTCCATGCACCTCGAAGGACATAATAAGCATTGATATCAATGTTGCATGGTGTTGCCCTTCTTGTAATTTGAACCCATTGGTTTGAGTCCTGACCAGCAGAAAACAAACTTGCTCCCTTTGATAGCCTTTCAGATGACTAGCATACCATCTCTTAGTCTTCTCTTCTCAAGGCTAAATGTTTCAAACTCCCTCAAGCATTCTTCACAAGCCTTGGTTTCTAGGGTGTTTTTTTGTTTTACTATCTTGGTTTTCAGCTTCCTGACATTTCTTGTTGTGGTCATATGCTGTCAATTTGTGGTGACCATAATAAAGTTCTCAAAGGATGTGAGATATTAGAAGAGTCGGTTGTCACTCCCCAGTGAGTTTCCATGGCCAGGTGTGGATTTGAACCCAGGTCTCACCATCCACTGTATCACAAACTGAGCTTCCTTAATGACAGTCACTGACACCTAGTAGGTCTCCCCAAGTAGATCTACTTACCCCTCCCCAGTTGAGGGTTCGAGCAAGGTCATTCCCAGTGCCAAGTGGAAGCACAGCAACAGGAGGCTGGGGATTCAGTTGCAACTCATCCAGGATGGAGAGGATCCAGCCCACCTACACATCAAAGTTTATAGGAAAGGAAATAATCACCAGTACAGAACAAAGAAGCTGCTTAGATTGTCTGAGTACCCTGTCAATATCCGAGGCTGTCTGATGTGTTCCGGCTGCTGCGTGGTCTATAAGAAGATTGATTTTGCAAGCACGGTGAAGATTTAGAATAGAAAGACAGCCCTGGAGAAGATCACCCATCTCAGCTGCACCTGTCTAACAGGATGGTTGGGAAGAGAGTGAATCTCTCTTTAGTCTTTAGTTCCAAGTAAGAAAAGGATGTATTTGCATTTATTAAAAATACATGCAAATATGCATGCATAATGTATTTAATATGCACAATATATGTTATATTAAAATAAAAGGGTTAGTGTTCAATGGGAGAGCACTAGGAAATACCAGGGATCTCCAGGAACAGCTAGGAAAGAATCTTGTCTGAAACCTCAGACAACTGCTACCAGTCAGAGTTGACAATATTAGGCTAGATAGACTCATGGTCTGACATAGAATAAGGCAAAACCCTATCCTCTTATAAAAATAAACAATAGCCCTTCATCTTCCCTCTGCTCAGTGGCCATAATCCAAACCATTTACATCCATTGCAGAATTGACATTTATTCACCAAAAGGAAAATAGCAACTCTCTTCTACTTTTTTTCCCCATTTATGGCTAATAGTAGTTTCAGGAATGGAGGCATTTAAAATGCTAAATTAACACCTAAATTAAATGTAAGATATTATTCTAACACAATTCCCAAAATGGTATACAATGAAGAGAAATTTGTGACTTCTAATTATGGATAACTTTGCTTCTCAGCATACCCTTGCCAAAAGAAGACAAACCATTTATATACAGGTGTCTTGTTTTATTTTTTAAATTCTACATGAAGTATATTATTATAGATCCCCAATGTTCAGTGCAATCTTTAGGATTTAAGATAGGTCACCCAGTGATATCCTATGAATCTAGATTATAGAATCCCTATGTTGTTGTTGTAGCTTAGTTGTTAAGTCGTGTCTGATTCTTCATGACCCCATGGAGCAGAGCACGCCAGGCCCTATAACCGACAACAAATCATTTATCATCAGCAGACGGTGAAAAAAACACTGTGCTAAAGATGTTGGAAAATTGTTAGGTCTTTAAGAAGAAGAAATGTAATAAACAATTGGTTAGTGCAGATGGAGTTATTTAGTCATTGCCTACGTGACAAAGGACACAGCCCTGTGGAATTAACTAATTTGATTGGTTAGAGGCAGTATAAATTAAGAGGCTAGCTACTGTCATGCTTATGTTCTGTCCGTTTGACTGCTGAATACCTATGTTTATGTTCCTGTGAGCACTATGTAAATATGTACAGTAAGTAAATATTCTCTGCACTTATTCCTGGTGTCTTCCTGTGTGCCTTACTATGCTGGAACTTCTGGTCCAAACCTTCATAAGGAAAAAGCTTCTGCTGTAACTTTAAATGCTAACTTTTTTAATGTCTACATGAAGTATATTACAGTGGTACCTCGCAAGACTATTATCCCACAAAACGGTCTTTTTGCTAGACATTGACTTTTTGCGATCACTATAGCGATTCGGAAAATGATGTTTCCTATGGGGGAATTTCGCTGGACGATGATTTGGTCCATGCTTCGTGCACCTTTTTTTTTTTTTTCAAAATGACAATTTTTACAGCTGATCGTTGGCTTGGACCTTTTCTTTTTTTTCAAAACGACAATTTTTACAGCTGATCGTCGGCTTCGCAAAATGGCTTCCCTATACATAATCTTCACAAAACGGGTGTTTTCGGGACCTATGCTTCACAAGACAGCATTTTTTACAGCTGATTGGCACTTCGCAATATGGCTTCCGTATGGGCGATTTTCGCTGGTCGACGATTATTTTCCCCATTGGAATGCATTAAATGGGGTTCAATGCATTCCAATGGGAAAACACTTCTCGCTAGACGATGTTTTCACAAGCCAGTGATTTCAGTGGAACAGATTAACATCATCTAGCGAGGCACCACAGTATTATAGATCCCCAATGTTCAGTGCAATCTTTAGGATTTAAGATAGGCCACCAGTGATAGCCTATAAATCTAGTTTATAGAATCTCTATGTTGTTGTTGTTTAGTCATTAAATTATGTCTGACTCTTCATGACCCCATGGACCAGAGCAAGCCAGGCCATATAACTAACAACAAATCATTTATCATCAGCGGACAGTGAAAAAAAGTTAATGCTGTGCTAAGGATGCTGAAAAATCTCCCACTTTCTGTCTCCTTTCAATAATGCAAAGTAATATCTAGTCACACTGAATATTCACTAAATCTATTTCGGCATGATTTTCATTTCTAGATTTAATAGCTTTTGGAACAATGAGGCATTAATTTGCTTCAAACATAACCTCAGCAAAGAAAAATCATGTGTCTCCCATATTAATGAAAAGGTGCTGCCCCAGTTAGTCCAATGGATGAAATGTAGAGGAAAAGAAAATGGAAACAAACCACCAGTCATTATGGTTTGTTCAGAAAGGTTTAGTCCAGAGTTCAGTTATGCCACGCAGGGCTCATGACTGGAGATGGGCATGAACCACTGCTGGTTTGTCCTTTGGGTGAACAGGTGTTCAGCAGTTCCTAACCCTGACTCCTCCAGCCAGTGTCCATTCAGAGGCTATGCCCCGACTTCCCTGCCTCGCCTCCTCTGCACACTGTATCTGAGTGGGCACCCACCAAAGGAGGCACGGCTGGAAACTGCCAAACATCTGTTGGTCCAAAAGACATGTATTGCCAAAGAAGCGGTTCCTGCCCATCTCTGCTCATGACCATATCAGCCCATGGGGGGAGCCTCCAAAGGGTTCTAGGGTCTGTTCCAGGACCCTTGCGAGGCTCCCCCCACCCCACGGGACCAGCGGGGGCGAAATTGCGACTTTTCAGGACCTTTTCTAAGCCTTTCAAGCCTCAAAAAAAGGTTCTGGAACCTGGCGATTTCACCCCCGCTGGCCCCGTGGCGGGGGTGAGCCTCCAAAGGGTGAGGATGGGAGGAGCCTCACAAGGATCCTGGAAGGCTCACTCGGACCCTTGAGAGGCTCCCCCCTCGGCTTGGGAAGCTTCAGAAGAGTCCCTGAAGGTGGCAATTTTGCCCCCTCTGGCCCCCGGGGGGGGGCAGGGTGAGCCTCCAAAGGGTCCTAGGGTATGTTCTATAAGACGGACCTCTCCAAAAGGCTCACCAAATTTTTAGGAGAAGAAAACAAATTATTATTTTCCTGTTTTCTTCTCCTAAAAATTTGGTGTGTCTTATGGAGCGAAAAATAGTGTGTCTTTTTTGCACAAACTCTTATGCTCTACACAAGGATATGCTGCTTGTTAAACATGGCATAACTCCCTGCTCCACAAGTGAGCCTTGGAGAGGTTTTTCCTATTACCACCACAAACAACAAAGAGCCCTATGTGTGAACGGAAAAAAACTTACTGTTCCATCCCCACCACAGGCCAGGATTCGCAGATTTGGCATCTTTCTGTACAGTTCTAGCCTATTGAAAGAAAATGAGTATCAGAAAAGAAGGTTACAGAATAACAAAGGTTAGAAAAATAAGACATGACGCAACGGTCCTTGAAAACTAAACTTTATAAGCTACAAAACAGGTGGACTTTCTCCTCAGGTGGACTTTCCCCTCTGATGTAGATGCTATGTCTGTTCAAGAACATCACAGCACAGAAAATGAACAAGCAACTTGGTCTTTGGCCAAGGAGTGGTGGGTTCTTGGGCAACTTATTTTCTTCAGACAAGATCTGGAAGTTTATTTTGCTATATAAATCAATCCCTTAATTTAGTTGCTGAGGCTGGGCACAATCACGGTTTATCTCCACCTATCTCTCGTTGTGTAGATTAGTTGTTCTCTGTTAAGACTCAGGCAGTGATATTACTCTACCAAGAAATCCATCTTCTACTTATTTCACATTTATCTTCAATCTTCCCTTTGATGATGTCCTGCATTGTATTTGTCATGACAAATTAAGTGTCCAATATATGACAGCTTCCACTTCTCAATAATCAACTCTCCATTTCATTTTGTTTTCCTATCTGATAATGTACATTTTCATTCTTTATTCTGTCTGTCCATGGGATGCAAAGGATTGTTTTGTATGTCCACTCTCAAAGGTTTTTATTCTGTTGAGTATCTCCTTTTCAATAGTCCAAACCTCATGTCCAAACAGAAGATATGATCCCTTCATTATTCATTTATTTATTTATTCAAAATATTTTTACCCGCCTTTCTCCTTAAAAAGGACCCAAGGTGGTTTACATACTTGAAAGATGTTATTTAAAGCTGAAAATAATGAGTATATAAAGGTGGTTTACATCATTAAAAGGCAATATTTAAAGCTAAGAAAAATAAGTATAAAGAGGCAGCTTACATCATTAAGACAATATTAAAGCTAAAACAATTAGTGGCTGTATTAAAGCCATGGCTGAAATCCTGTTGTTTTTACCTACCAACATAATGCCAGTGGAATGATTTGGAATCATAGAATCATAGAATAATTGAGTTGGAAGGGGCCTATAAGTTCATTTGGTCCAACCCTCTGCTCAATGCTTTGAGCAGTGTAATTTTCAGTAGCAAATCACCACACATTAAGAATTCAGCATAATCATTTCCTGTTGTAAACCAATGGCATGATTTACTAGGTGATAGAAAATGCCTGCTCTGACTCCTTAACTTGTGGTGATTCGCCACTGAAATTCACACCACTGGCATTGCTCCAGCACAAATAAGCAATAGTATTTCAGGCAATGACTTCTAGCTGGAATGTATTCATTGCTATGATGGAGAATTTACATGCGAGAGCCAGAGAAGCGTGTAATACTGAACTGTGGGATATCTGTCTCATACATGTGGCTTTGTAGGGTAGGAGATGTTTCTCACATGTGAACTTGAGGGAAAAAAACAGCTTAACTAAACTTAGCTCAGTTTTGGAGTGATGGTTAAGGACAAGATAAAATTCATTTATTTCATTTTATTTTTATTTATTTACAAGATTTTTTTTAGCTGCGCCATTACCAGTGGTCTCTGTGCGGTGTACAACAATATTAAAACTTTAAAACCATTAAAACCATTAAAATAGACAATATTATAATATCCTATATTAAAACATTCATTAAAACATTAATATTAATAAATCCTGTTGCTCATATGACCAGCTGAAGAATACTATTTAATTAAAATGCTGGCTAAACAGAAAGGTCTTTGCCTG